GGCAGACTGCGAGTGGCTGCAGCACAGGGTGGGCGAGGGGCCACTTTTCCACCCCCTGCACTCAGCACCAGCTTGTAACCCACCCCAGCTGCTAGCCTGGGCCCCACACCAGCTCCGGGCTCACCCGTTGGGGCTGCACATGGCAGCAGAAGCTGCAGCCCCCTACTTGCTGCACCAGGCAGTGTTTGCTGCTGCTGCTTGTCCGGAGCTCATGCACTGGGACAGTGGTGACAAACACTGCTTGGCATGGCAAGCGTGGGGGCCACAGCTGCTGCCACTGTGTGTAGCCCCAACGGGCAAGCTCAGAGCCGGCACAGAGCCCAGGCTGGCAGCGGGGGCAGGTTACAAGCTGCTGCTGAGCATGGGCAGGGAAAAAAGTGGCCCCTCGCCTGCCCCGTGCCCTGTGCTCCACGCTGCAGCGAGCCTGTGCCTGCTTAGGACAGCCCCACGTGGACTGCGAGCAGCTGCAGCAGGGAGCACCGGCCAAGGGGCACGGGGTTGGGCCGCTTTTCTCCTACGCTCAGCTTTTCCCCCGGATCCTCCTCTGCCCTCACCCCCCCCCCCACCTGAGTTTCTGGCTGGGGCAGCCATGTGGTCCCAGGCCAGAAGCCCCTGCTGAGGCTTCTGGCTGGGAGGGCGGGGCTGGGTGGGCCCTGCTGTTGTGGGAGTCTGCCGGGTCTTCCTCTGGGTCCTACTGCCCTTGGTTCGTGTCATTTTTGACAGGAACCAGGGGCAGATAAATATTAATTTTCTAAATTGTTTAGGGGCCCTGTGGACTGGATAAAATGGCCTTGCGGGGTGGATCCAGCCCACAGGCCATATTTTGCCCACCCCTGGTGTATGTGTATATCCATCCTTGATTTTTTCCAACCATCTTTATTTTCATTTCTTTCAGTGTTATGTTGCTGTCACTTAAGAGAAAATCTGTTTTATTTTTAAATGCTTGTGTAACCGACCTTAGCTTTATTTCAAGTTTTGGTAATGAAGTAATTGTATTTCTCAGATGTTGCTTTTAAAACAAAATCATCACTTAGGCTTAGCTGGGTTTACAGACTTTACTGGCATTTTTACCCTAAGGGAAACCTTAAAGGTGAGACATTTGGGGCCAGGCCCCATTTACCCTTTATATGTCTGCATGGTGCATACACTGCCACTTAACTGCAGTTTTTAGCACCTAGGCAGTGTTTGGGATTCCGTCTTAGTCCCACTTCAGAGAAACAGAGCTGGCTTGCACATGGAGGAGGTGGAAGACCCTTCTATCTTATAGCCCAGTGGTTAGAGGCATTGACCCATGGAAGAACATTCAGGTTCTTCACCCAACAGGGACTTGAACCTACATTGCCTGCTTCTCAGTAAAGTGCTATGCCCCATCTCCAGCTAGGCACTGTCCAGGTTTCCATTTGAAGCTAGCCTACTAGCATGCCAAGAAGAGGGATCAGGAGGACGTGTAGCACCCAGAGGGTTTGTGGCTCAGTGAAATAGATACTGCCCTGGGAGGGAGTGGCCTTTGAGGTCTGGCTGCTATGGGAAATATTGAATCCTAAATTGTGTGTAGAAACTGCATTTATGTGGTTATGTACCCTCCAGTTAGGGGCATGAAGTGATATTTTTCTCGAACTTCAATCTGTGCTTTAGTAAAAATTGACTGAATTAAACAGCAGCAGGATTCTAGTTGATAAGTTTAGTGAAGAAGAGTGACTAGAAGCTAGAAGTGAGCTCTCTTGACTTCTTGTTTGCTGAGCTGTGTTTCATATTGTGATGTCTTTGACTTCTCAGGGAGTGTGCAAATCATTTCAGGAGGACAAGTTGAATATAAAGTACTGTCTGCCATTCGTTTCATGTGGTGGTACCATTTAATTGGCCTCATCTGGACTAGTGAATTCATCCTGGCTTGTCAGCAAATGACTATTTCTGGGGCAGTGGTTACTTGCTACTTCAATCGGTATGTGCAAAATTTACCTCCTTAATAATATGAAGTTGGGGGGGTTAGTTGTTATTTATAGCCTGTTTCTAGGGAAATAAAATAAAATGCCTTGGATTTATATTTCTGATGGTATCTGCAGGGCTAAATTATCTTATGGGGATGGGACAAGAAAATCAAACAGTTTGTTGCAAGGTCTTGGTTAAGATCTTGTGATGAATGTAACGTTAGTATGGGTCACTACATTAGGTCCTATAGTGACTGGGTCCAGATAAGCTCTGATGCCAGCTGCCAGCATAACTCAGCTGACTACAGTGGGGCTGCACCTGTTAACATCCAGGCTGAATTTGGCCTTTTCCCACTAAACTTCATAGCCCCAGAATAACTTGTATATTCGCAAACAGTGTGATCTGATTCCAGCCAAGATTTTTCATAAATTAAAATTTGTTGTACCAAATATTGACAACTTTCTGGAGAAATATTTTTGAAATTGAAAGTTTGAAATCAACACACAATTTTAAAATTGGGGCTTTGTGTTGCCAAAACACTCTTACCTAAACCTGAATTGTAAGAATCTTATTTATCTCTCACTATTTATGCAACTTTCCATTTCGTGCTTTACTCTTCTTGAATAGTGACACTTCACTGGTTTCGTACAGTAACACAGTGCTCTTTTTATTTCACTTCTAATGTTGCAGGTGAGTGTATAGCTCTCCAAATAAACCATTCTTTCACTGAAACTTCAGAAAACTGCACCCTCAAAACATTTGCAATCCTTGTAGATCTTTTTGCTCCATTGCTGCATTTCCTCTTCTCCGGTCGCCTACTTCTCTACACCCCTCCAGCCCTGGGTAGTTATGCAATTTTATGTTCTATGGAAAATTATGAAATTTTGAGAAAAAAATTAATTCAGAGTGGAGTGGAAAAATATCTCTGAATTTTTCTGCACAGTGGCTGCCTGTTAGGAGTCCTAGGGATTCACAGCTCAGCAAGCTGGCTAGGCAAACTGCTAGGGAACATGAGAGCCTGGCTGAAGAGCTGCTGAGGATCATAGGAGCTTGTCCCACAAGCTGTCCGAGTGCTGGAGACCTCATGGGGCTGGGTGGCTAAGAAGCCAGGAACCTAGGACCTGAGGCTTCCAGGACTTCCAGGCTCACAGCTTCTAGCAGCCCAGCTGTCAACATTTTCTTCAAAATAAGCATGTTTCCACCATTTTGATTTCCAGGAATCAGCATTTTCTGACAGAAAATCATTCCATCAAAAGATTTCCAGCAGCTCTGCATCCCTTCTTCCCCACAACTAGCCTTGCCTTTGTCTACAAGGGTAATTTTTTTTGTGGAAAAAAAAATCTTGCTTGTTGCTGACTAGCTCCACTCCATTGCTTGTAGCAAGTTCAGGAGCTTTAGAGCAGATAGGCTGTTGACTGCTACCTCTGTTTAACCTCTTTGTTTTCTGACCCTCCTTAGAGTAAGCCTGTAATCTCTCCTGTTTAAAATGGTGCCAGAAGCACATCTATGCTAGGGCTCTCTTGCTGACAGCTTTGGAGTGAACTGGTCTTAGCAACAGAAGGAAAGCTTTTGAAAACATGCCTAGTGTTAGCAGAACCTAAAGCAGTCACTTAGGAAGATTTTAAGAAAGGATTTGAATGGCAATAGTCTTATGTTACTATGTCACCCAGCACACCAGGGCCTGAGAAGAAAAGCTTACACTTTACAAATGGCCACATTCTTTTGATTGTGGTACTGTCAGCCCAGATACCTAGCCTTTCTACAGATGCTTATAGTTCAGTGCCTATTTGCTCCTAAGGACACAGTGGGCGCATCCGGATGTGCGTGGACATTTGGTTCCCCGGGGACAACTAGCAGTGGCACACCTTGCACTGCAGCTACTTGTTCTTGGGGAATGCCTGGTGAACCCAGGGGCAGTAAGGGAGGCTGGGGCCAGCACTGTGCTGGCCCTAGCAGCCTTACCTGGAGTCCTGGGGGCTTCCTGGGGCTGCAGCTACAGTGATCCTGCTGGACAGAGTCTGGCCAGCAGCCGCAGCGCGGCTCCAGTGGCCCAGCTCTGCTTTTCAGCAGCACACACTGCCTGTGCGTGCACTGCTCCAGGTTTTTTCCCCCACATTTTTTTTGTTCTGTTTTTTGACCCCTGGATATCCCTGGGGAAAAAAAAACCCTGCAGAACAAAACAGTGCAGTGCATGCATAGGCAGTGCGTCCTTACCGCACTGCATGTGGCACTGCAGATGTGTTTGCATTGCCACATATTGTGTGGGTGCTGTCATCTGGACACACCCAGTGTTGCATCCCATTCTTCTTGTTTCTTAAACTTAAGCAATGGAGAGTTGCACCCAGAGGGCCAAGCTCTGAGGATCTGGGGAACTGCTCTGGAACAGTTTGCTTCAGGATGTATGGAAGAAAAAATATCTTCACTTGTTCCAGAGGTGTCTGCCCCTGTGCAATCTTTGTATGACACCTCTGCTTCAGCTCACCATTATTTAGGAATACTATTTGCTTTGTCCCACACTGCATAGAACAAGAACCCAGATACCAGGCTATTCTAAGCTGCATTGTGAATCAGGAAAAGATCCTATTACTACTATCCACCCACTTGTCCCATGCCTACCTGAGCTTTGGGCTGCCTAGCTGTCAGGCATGGCAGCCCCTGAGCTGCTGTACATAGTGTTGGCAAACATGAGAGCCCAGCTCTGTTCTGGAGGTCCCAAAGGCATAGATATCCCTTGCCTCCTGTACCCAGGGCAAGGAAGATGACATTGAAGCTGATGCGGTGATTCCATCAACAAAAACTCCCTTGCGTAGGGGAATCCTCAAAAGACCAAGTCTATCAGCTTTCCCATCACGTGGAACCACCAGAGTGAAGTCTAGGACCTGACCCTTGGCATTGGCAAGGTTTCTGTTCCAAGTCCCGTTGAAATCACTCCCTTCTTTGTCCGTCTGCTTTGCAGTTCTGCTTTTGCTTGCCAGCCAACATGCATGGTGTTGACAGAATAGTGCTTGGGAAGGGAAGTGTGATTTTCTGTGATAGTGATCCCTCTTCCTGCCCCTCAGTCTGTCAGCATAGATAAGCAGGTAAACCAAAGCAGTGAAGTAATGGGGATAGGAAGGTGCAGCAGCAACAGTACTGACATCAAAAGGGAAAGGAGAGTGTGAACTATCTTGGTCCCTGCCAACAACGAAGAACTTGTTACCAAGTTCTTACATGCTTCTTTTAATGTATTTTCTAGTGCGGCCTCATAAACGCGTTACAAGATCTTTGTTTGTGATGACCCACAGAGAGGCTTTCCTTCTAGTTAGTGCATAGTCACAGGAAATGGAACAGCCTTTCCCCGAGGAAATCGGCTTCCCCTGTACACACAGCAGTCCATTGGGCTCTCCACTGCTTCTGTATATAAACAGAACTAAAAATGGGGAATGCAGAGTTTTTTCAGCTGGATTAGCTTTACAGGTGACATCTGTTTGACCTGAAACAATAATACTGAAACTATTCTGTTTTCTTGTACTTTAGATTAAAAAAAATTCTAAAAGGGTTTATCTTTTTTAATAAAAGAAAAAGGGGTTAATTTAACAGCTGGCTACTTTTCTGTGACTTGAAAAAAAGGTCTTGGTCTCCTCAAAGGTCTGGAATAGCCTGCCATCGGAGGTGGTTCAAGCACCTACATTGAACACCTTCAAGAGAAATTTGGATGTTTATCTTGCTGGGATCCTATGACCCCAGCTGACTTCCTGCCCCTTGGGCAGGGGGCTGGACTCGATGATCTTCCAAGGTCCCTTCCAGCCCTAACGTCTATGAAATCTATGAAAGCTTGTTGTTCAAGTAGTTCGTTTTGTATAAGGATTTATTTTCATCTTGAAATATTGAGAGGTTATGTGCATACCTGCCTGTTCCTTCTGATGAGACTTTGTCCCTTAAAGAAAGAGGCCTGAGGTTTTGAACAATTTCTGAAAATTTTCTACTTAAGACCAAATACTGCCAGTGCTCACATGTTGAGTAACTTCAGTCACACAAGTAGTCCCATGCTATTCTTTTGACTAAAGTTATTCATATGGCTAAGCATAAACCTTAGTCCTAGAAAACATCCTGGCAGGGACTCAAAATTAAAATGCATATCAATGTTTGCAGGATTAGGGTTTTAGAACTTAATTCTAGAGGTGCTTAGCACCTATCACTTCTGTTAACATTCGTTGGAATTGGAAGTACTCAGTACTTTTCAGGATCAGGCACTTAAGGTTGGGTCTTATTCAGAACTTGGTACTGGGCACATAAGCAGCACTTTTTTGTCCACCCTGCTTAAGTTCCTTTCCTGAAAAATCCTTAACATGTCAGTCTTTGTAATGCACCTTCATTTGAGCCTTAAGAGTAGGTTACAAGGAGTGGTAAGAACCCAGACAGCCGTTACATAAATGGTTTCTCAGGGACTTGAGTAGTGTAGAATAGGATCACACTTAGAAACTTAGATGTCAGTGTGGGGATCTAGCCATCAGTCACTAAGGTCATACCTCGGGACCAAATTTTCAATAGCCCTTTCAAAAATCTGCCAGTAGTCTTTATAAGTTTATCTTTTCTCAATCTCATAAACTCACACTTACACATGTAAAAAAGCCATGTAATATACATGTAATCAGACTAATATTTCTGAGCAAATAGGCAAATACTCCCTCCCATTTTTAATGGGCAGTTGAAAATTTGTCACTCAGTGGATTAAATATCTATTCTAGGACCTTTTCTACATTGAGGAGAAAAATAAGTGCTTTAGTCTTTCATTAGGCAAAACTGAATAGTATATAAACTATTGCAAATGTTAAATTTGTTCCTAGTGGTCATTTTAAAAATGAGATTCAATTTCACCAAATCGTGATTAATTCTTTAATAGAGTTAAAAGTATATTTATTGTCAAATTCTTGAGATGTGTTTTATATATGAACTGAACTGACCAGAGAGGTGATAAATTGAACTTCAAGTGCTCAGAAACCATGAACAAGGTCTAAAAAATTAGAAGATAGCTTGAAAATTATGAGTTCTTTTTTTTAAAAAAAAAAAGCACTTTGGGTTCTCTTTCTTCTTCTTTTGGTTTTTGAGCATCTGGAGTGCACTTAGGTTACATTTTCAAACATTTTCTCTACAACCTAGAGAAGTAGAATTGTTTCATAAGTGAAAGTAATCCCTTGACACTGAGGGCATCTTTACATGTCTTTGGGAGTGAGGGGGGTTGCTTTAATTAGAGCAGCTCTCAGGAGCTGCTCTAATTAAAGTGCCCTCAGTGTCTTGTGCATTCACAAGCTTTATTTCAACAAGCTTTAGTTAAAGTGCTCCCACCGCCATTTTGAAGCATAGGGATGCTGAATACATGAGATGCTGAGGCTGCTTGAGCATGTGTCCTGCACGTCTACAGACACCCCAAGAGTTTGGGCTTTGTGGAAAATACCATATAGCACAAATATCACAGTGAAATTGTAAGAATTGTTAGTATTTTAAAAGTAAAATATATAACAGGAGTAAGGCTGCTATTTAGTGTAATGCACAATACAAGTTTGTGGGCATTCGGAGTAGCATTGTGCACTATAATTTAGGGATGCATAGATAATATAATGAAAAAGGATAGTAAGGCCCAGCAGTCCTCCAGTGATTTCAATACTGGCAAATTATTGTGCGTACATGACACTTTATTGACTTCCTTGGGTCTCAATGCAAGTACAGTAGTCCATTTTCACAGAAGTCATTGCAAGAGATGGGCTGATGGCTTCAAACACTAATGTGTGTGTATCACTATGTGCATGTGACCAAATGTGCTGGATTGGGGCAGCCTATTTTTTTAAAAATGAGAAATTTTGGCCTAATTTGGTGTGATACCAAAAAATGTAAACAGTTTAGAATAGGATATAGATGAAACCATGAAGATAATTGAGCCAAACCATACTTTATTTTGCAAATCTCCCAAACCACTGTTGCTTTCATTGGGTTGGAGTGTTATTATAGCTGTAATAGGCCAGGAGATGTGAGAGAAGCTACAGGCAAAGTTCCCTCTAAGGTGCGTGCGTCTACAGCCGTGCACAACTAAAAGTCTGGCCGTGCACAGCCTTTTCAAGGCTGCGTACCAGTGGAGAGAAGCTGAAAGTAAGCTCCTAGGCGAGGTTGGGGCAGGAGCCTGCATGGGCTCCACCAGCTCTGGGGAAGTGCTCCACTCCCCGGACCCGATGCAGGGGAGCAGAGCACTTCCCTGGAGCCAGCGGAGCCTGTGCCAGCCCCTGGCCCCAGCCTCCGGCCCCCAGCCTCCAGCCCCCAGCTCCATCCTCTCAGCTCCAGCCTCCGGCCCCAGCCTCTCCCCGCCCCCCCCCCCCGCCCCCAGCCTCTCGCCCCCACCCCCCCAGCCTCTCGGCTCCAGCCTCCGGCCCCAGCCTTTAGCCCTCAGCCCCCAACCCTCAGCTCCCTTCGCTAAGTATCCCACGCTGGACCGAGGCGGCGCGCTCACAGACTGAGGTGGTGCGCTCATGGACCGCTACTCCTTAAAGGGAACTTCAGCTACAGTTTTTTATTATATATTTATTGGACTACTTGGGAGATGGTTTAGTTGCCGGAGGCAGGACTATAGGGAAAATCTCATTGTTCTTTTTCTAATGTACATAGAACCAAAATGTCTAGCAACTTTGTTAGAACTTGGCTTTAGGGAAAATCCTTGGCTGGACCAAGGAGGCTTGAAAAAGACTTGAAATTTATATAAGCTTTAAAACCTGAGATTCTTGCTCATTCATCAGTATTGATAAAATGTAATTCCTTCAGTTGTAAATGTACTATTAACTTAAGTACAAACTTTGCTCTCTCTGTCTTTCCTGTACTTGGTTAATATTTAACTTGCTGTTCTTTAGCCTTTTCTTTTCCTAGGTCTGACTGAAATTGTCACATGTAAGCTATTTTGAACAGAAAAGTATGGGATTACCTGGGTGAAATTCTTGCAGTTTATCAAATCATATTAATTTCGGACATAAAAATGATGTCTTTCAGAAAGCAGATCAAAATACTTGTTCTGCGCGAAAATCCAGCATCCCCTGAGCTGCTCCCCTGGCTGCAAGATCAAAACTAATGCATACCAGCAACCGCTTTGCTGGTATTTCCTATTTAAAATAATGTGGTATATAGGCATATTTAAATATAACTTTATAGCAGCAATGTAGTTATTGCTATGAAAGGGCTGCAGTGATACACTCAGAATTACTGCAACACTATGATACCTATCTTGACATAGCTGTGTAATGTTTAAATTCCTTCTGCGAAGATTTAATAAAAATATCTTCCTTTTCTCAACCCACCCAGCTCCTTTCTCTTGCACACAACTCTTTTATGCTTAGTTTTTTTTTTTCTGTAAATGATTAATTTTAAAGGTGATAACAACTATTAAAGGATTCACTTCTAAAGAGAGAACATTTTAGTTATGATTTAGGGTCTGATCCTTAGCCACTTGCTCAAGCAGTACTTCCATTGATATCAATGATATTTTTGCCTGTGTAGATATTTCAGGGTTGGTCTTATCATTTAAGGATCTTTTGCAAACATCATAACTAGGGGTGTGCGAAGTGGGCAGTGTTCGATTCGGATTCAGCCCAATTCAGGGGACAGTGATTCGATTTGCTGATTTGGATCACTGTCCTGATTCAATTCGGCTGAATCTGAATCAGAAGATTTGATTCTGATTCGGAGAATCAGTGATTCAGCCATATACATGGTTTGTTTTTTCAATGTACCTTGAGGTACCCAGCATGGTTCGTGAATGCTGAGATGGTGGGGCAGATGAAATGTCCCACAGGAGCGTGGGGAGGCCCCCCGCGTGCCCTCTCCAGACCCAGGAGGCACCAGTTAGCAAGCCGGGGGATCCCCCATGTGCTCCGCAGCAGACCCAGAAGTGGACCGGAAGTACTTCTGGTCCAATTCCAGGTTCGCCGCCGAGCACGCAGGGAACCCTCCCGCACTGCCATGGGACGCTCCATCTGCCCCAGCATCGCAGCGTTCACAAGCTGCGCCTGGTACCTCAAGGTACATAGAAAAAACATTTAAAGCTGTTTCTGTGTCCGAATCATCAAATCTCTCTGAATTGAATCAGAGGCTTCAGAGAGATTAATGGGTCTCCTGATTTGGATTCGGAGGTTTGGCAGCCAAATTGGGCCAAATTTCCTCCGAGTCAAATCAGCAACCAAAGCTTCACACAGCCCTACTAATTACAGTGGCCATTGAGCAGTGTGTTTGGAATCCCTAAGACACTGTGAGGGATTTATAATGCCAAATACAGTGTTTTCTCAGTGCTTTTTTTTAGTGAATTTCCTGGTTCTAGAGAGCTAATTAGTATAAATTCTTGAGAGCTATGTCATACGATTTCTTGTAAAAGATTCACATTAAACTGACCTTTTAAAAGCAAACAAGAAAAGGAATCTGTATTTGGGATTTTGCTCTCCATTATAAGACAAAACATGAAGTTAATTTTCATACATTCTTTTGGGTTTTGGAAGACATATGCTATTACCTCAAGAGAACTTAGTTAAAATGTGGTAAAACTATGTATTTTTGATTACCATTTAGTCAAATAATATTATAAACACATTCACTCAAATTCTTTTTTGTGTGCTCCATTGTAAATCTGAAATAAAACTGTTGGCTACAATACAAATTTTTTGGATTTACCTCAGCAACACTGAAAGCAAAATCTGGTGAAATTGTAAGTGACCTCACACAGTAAATCTCATTTTTGCATATAAGATCCTGCCAGACTGTGTTTATTTTAGACTGCTTTATTTCTGAAATAGAAATAGTGATACCAGATTTGCAGACTAAACTCCTGAAACCAAGTCATACAAGGAGTGCAGGAAGACTAGAAAGGTGGCATAAATGGAATAGAAGTATTTAGAGTGTAGTTCTCATAGATTATTGACTGTTAACATTTTATAACAGGTTCTTCTATGTGATATCTGTTATTGATGGCACCAAAATAGTAATTGCCTAGGAATTAATCCAGTAACAGATTTTTAACTTGTTTTTGTTCATCTGGACTAAAGATGTCCTTGAATTCCCAGTTGAAGTCAGTGGAAGTCTGGACTTGGATCAGGCCCTAATGGCAAGGATAGGTTAATGCATTTGATTATCAAATGTTGAAACCACATGTGATATTACACGTTAAAGACCAATAATGTTAATAGCTGTTTTTCCTGGTTTTATAACTTTTTAACACTCTGTTTATTTTTCTTCCTAGAAATAAAAGTAGCCCGCCAAGTCACCCGATCCTATCTTCCATATCAGTTCTTTTCTGCTATCATCTAGGAACAGCTGTAAAAGGGTCATTTTTGATCACTTTACTGAGAATACCAAGGACTATTCTCATGTACATTTATAATACTTTAAAAGAAAAGGTAGGCATGTTCTTTTTGTAAAACAATCATACAGTAGTTAACTTGTGATGTATAGGAAGGAAATTTCTTGAACAATTAACTCTATGCAAAAAATAGGAACGCGAGCTTTATTTCATTTGGGTTTCTTATCCATATGGACTCTACATATACACCTCTCATCTCAGATTTTAAAAACAAATAAGAAAAACAGGTACTTTTAAGTAGTAATGTTGAGTGAAGTATTTTAAATCTCATATAATTATTTAAAAAACAAGCAAAACTAACCAAAAATGTCACTATTATTTTAAGCTGAAAATGTCTCCTTATTAAATGATTTCACCTGCTTTGTGGTGTGAAACACTAGAAAATAGGTGAAATAAAAACAAATGTGTGTTTACATAGTATCCAAACCATATAATTTAAGGCACATTAAAATTTAGCTAAACTATTTGTTGCCTGTCATCTAATTATCAGACACCTCTGCATTTCCTGGCTTCTGTTGAAAACAGAAGTTCCAAAATAACACAGAATCCAGCTCCATTTCCAGATCAGAAAGTTGGAATAAACATTTGGACCAGAATTTTTCAAATGCCAGTCTCTGAAGTAAAACAAAACTTTGGCCTTAAAACATTGTTAATTGTAGAGAGGTAGTTAGCTCTGCTAGTCTGGAGTCAGGCAAAAGGTAGAGCAGAGTGGCACCTTATGGACTAATTCAGAGATGCATAAGCCTTCATAAGCAGCAGCTCACTTTGTCAGATGTCATCTTGCCTTCTGATTGGTTATTTGATTCAGTAAAGACTTTTGAAGATTACCTTTTACTAAATACTGTAAAACAGATGAGGGATTTTGTTACAGCCTGAGCCAGGTGTATAGCAGGCTCAGAAAATTAACAGTATGTGAGTAGACAGATAGTCTTGTGAGACATCTCAACTGCTTTCAGTTCTGCCACAAAATGAGCTAGGTCCTGTCAATTTAGAGGCACTGTAATCTAAGTAGAGTGTAATGAGCCTTAATCAGGTGTGAAACACAGAGCAGGCTGTTCCCACAGGAATTAGCAGACAGGTTTCAGGTGACTTAAGTGGTACCTTTAATATTAAAATCAATGGGATTTGCAAATGGCTGGCAGTAGTGTAAATGGTGCTCTGTCTTAACCATGGGCTCCATAAGTGGCTTCTACTGTACTGCACTGGAAAAAATATAGGTTTTATTTTCCACCTCAAAAGGGAGCTGTATGAATAGTGGTGCATAGTTGTGATTCTTGTAGTCCATGTAAAGGAGTCATGTAAATAATGTGTAAAAAATAGAAAGGTCATTGATTAATCACAACATAAATGTACATAGAAATCCCATAGTCTGATTCTCTTGTGTTACATATGAAGCAGGTGTGGCTGTGACAACTTCTGGGTATATTTAGTTTGAGTTGGTATTGTTTAGCAAGGTGGGTTTCTTTATATACCAATTTGCCAGATGCAGGAAAGGGACTGTCCATGTAGTGTTCTGACCTTTCAGTATCAAGGGGAGAAGGGATTTGGGCCTTCATCTTTAGGATAGTGGTTGGAAACAGCTCCAGAGTGGCCTTACCAAATGTATTTCTGGGTTTAATTTATGTATGGACACAGTAGCCTAAGCCATAAGGCAGCCTCCTCTTCCAGTGCCCCTTTCTGGCCCTCCCCAGCTGAGTAGTATGGGGAAATTGCAACTAACATTATAATCCCCCACTATGGGATTTGAGGTAGGAGAGGATTGATCATGATACTTTCACAGTAAAACCATCTCATCAGTGAGACATGGTAAAGTATCATCATCACTCAACTGGGCTTGGGGTATAATTTTCTTAATGGGATATAAAAAAAAATGTAATGTTGGAAAATTTGCAAAGATGTTAAACTCCTTGATAAAATATTCTAACCTTCACTGCTTTCATATAGCTCCCTACTATATGTGACCACACACTCACAATAAGAGCTGCCTCTTATTAAAAACACAACAAAATCTTTCTGATCCGTGAGAGACAGTGAATAAAAACAGAACTCTAGATCAAACATCTCACATGAACAACTTGCCTTTAATGCTATCTGGGTACAATGTCTATTTATGATTGGCCTGCTGCAGTGATCCCCAAGATTTAAGACTTAATTGTTATTTTTTCAAGTACTTTGGAGACTTAACAACTTTGGAGTTTGGTTTTTTACTTGTTTGATTGATTTATTTATTTGTGTTATAGATCTAATGTGAATCCAGATCCCTGTAAGAATTCAAATAGTTTCCTGACAGGAATAATCTCCTGGAGTATAAATCTGCATTTTTCAGTTTTTATAAGAAAACTAAAAGGTGTGCGTGTGTGTATGCACACACATGCATGTACATCAGTCTGTCCTTTTTAAGGGTGCCAGTTATTTCAGAATCTTGCAAACACTTGGATAAAATTACAAAGAAAATACGAACACTTTATTTGTAAATATACCCTCTGCCAGTTGCCGCTCAGTGCATGAAGGGTTACTGCCTTGCCTGATTCCTTTGTGCTCTATGCAGCTGTTAGCAAACCAAAGCTGCTTACAGTAGTTATTTTCTTTCCAGGGCAGACTCTTCCCCCCACAGAAAAAAAAAAAAAGTTCAAATCATCAATCATTAATACTGCGGGGTCTGAATTAAAAACAACTCCCATAAGCAGGAAGGAAATCTCTGCTGTTTAAGTGAATGCCCTGTGAGAACTATAGTATCCTGTTAAGCGAGTTCATTTGAAATGTCAGTTTTATAAAAGTCTAACTCTGTCTCTAGTAACCATTTACTTCATTTTGTTGCAGGAGAGTGTATGTGCCAGATGCTTGTTCAAAAGCTGTTTCTGTTGCTTTTGGTGCTTGGAAAGGTGCCTAAGATACTTTAACCAGGTACATTGTATCAACTGCATACCTCAAAGTAGAGTTTACATAGCTGAAGCAGTCAATAACTTAATTGTGCCGTATGTCTCAAATTCTGTTTTGAATCTTTGCTCCTATTCATGGTATCAAATGGCATCTAATATCTCCTACTGTATGAAAGCTTTGTGATGCATGGGCACTATATTGATGTGTAAAATGACAAAGATCTATCACTTGTTTTGTAAGTCTACATTAGAGCATTAAAACCTCAATTTATTGCTGGTTAACTGGAATTAGCTCATCTGCTTGTAAATGTTCTTCTGGACACCTCACAAATACTTGTCAATTAGTTCATACCAGCTCAAACACTCCAGTGTTGACAAACCAAAGATGGATGTAATACAGTGTAGGTAGATAAATTACTTTTCACCCTAGGAGCTATTGCTAAAAGAGAAAACTTGATCACTGATGTCTTCTGTTTCATTAATAATATATCCTGGAATATAATCCAAAAGAGGGAAACCACAGAATACAATGTTCCCTTTCTTTGAGAGAGATCTTTATTTTTTTAACAGTTTCTTTTTCAAAGATGTTTTTATGAGAAGTGAGTGATCTCCTTCATACAACCATTTTTCAAATACTTGACTCCTACTCTTTCCTTCTTGATCCTTTCCTCTGCATTCTTCCCAACTCCATTTCTATTACTGTCTATACTACTTATGTTTGCTAATATGCTTTCATTTTCTATTGTGGCCCTTCTGTCTTTAGCTGTTGGATCAGGGGGAAGTGAATTTGTTCACACTGATCTCCTACCGCTGTGTATGGAATTCTACAGGCCCTAATCTCTCTCAAGTTGTCTCTGGTATTTTGTTCTGTCTAATGATGACTTTGGAATTACAGGATACAAGTTATCCTGTATCTTGGTGTCTTTTAAATCAGATTCTGGTCTAGTGGCTGCCTTCCTGTGTATAGCAGCTGCATAAATGAAACTGAACGCTGGAAGGCTAGAAAGTAATTGGCTTTGCCGAGTCTAAGCTAAATTCTTGTTCAACAAAATCATTAGTTCTGTGGGATGAACTTTCCAGGCTTACATTCTTGGGTAGATCTTATGGTCACTGACTTGGTTAAGAAACTTGGAGTTAGTTTTGACTCCAAACATTCCGTTAACAAAGCATGTTATTGTCACCCTTCACCTTGGCTTGCTGCCCTTCAAAGATATAGCCAGCATAATAGTGTTTGCTTTCTCCAGCTGTTGTTGTATGTTATGAGTTTGTTACGAGAAGAATTAATTATTGTTTTGTTTTTTGCTGGGTTCTAAAGCTTCTGTTTTATTCCTTGTTCTGTTAAAAGATTTCCTGTTTTTTGCCTGGATCATTGTAGTGAAATACCTATTTTTAAAAACAGTTCTATTTGTTCACTAAATAATGCAGGGCTGTTTGCTATTAAACAATTGCTTGTTTGGGTATTTATTTGGCAATGATGGCCATACCTTCAGCTTTGTAAACCTGAGCAGCATAACATCAGGGAGAGGCTTAGAGGACAAAATAATCATGAACTTTAGAAGGTAACTAATAGAAGTTACATTGCATGAAAGAACAAGATCAAGTACAGATTAGTTCTTTATGCAGGATAATTAATTTTTTTAATAATTTATCATATTTTTGAGGATGTTCCCCCTAAAAATAGGTGTACATAAACTTGAGAGTTTTTTGGTATATATCTTGTGTAAGACTAAAAATAGGAACCAGGCCTCAACTTTACTAGTTGTTTCAAATAGAAGCCTAATTTTAAGCATCTAAATAAGTGGCTTGATTTCTCAGATGTGCTGAAAATACAGCAGGTCTCGCTGAAAACAGTGGAAGTTGCTTGGTGCTCTGATCTTTAGAAAATTGGACAACTCTTTCTCTAGTTCTTTAACGAACGCTTTAGAGTCAGGTTTTAAACTACATTTTAAGAAACTTAGAAGTTTGGCCTCTTTGTATTTTTCTTATATTTTAAAAGTTTGGTTTGCATGTCTTCCATGAATTTATTTTTAGGGAGTTAAATTGCTAAAAGGTAGAGCTGTTGTTATTGAAATTGCTCCTAAGCTTATTGTGTGGGTTGATAGTCCCCATTATGTGCTTTACCTTTGCCCTGGTGTCACATTCTCTGGTGATAACAATTCCTCCACAAGTGCATCTTTACTTGTGATTTCTAAAAAGAAATTCATTAGGAACGCTGGTAGGTGGGAAGACATGACATCGAAAAAATTCCCTGTAGCACTCCTGCATTACGTTCTTCCCCTGCCTGTCTTGAAGTCATTCATAATATTTAAATCCTCCTCTGCCTTTATTTTGTAAGATAAGCAGAGTTGAACTTGGTCAGGACTTAGATAGGAAACTTGCAGAGAAAGCAGAGGTGCCACTAGAAATAATGTGGTAATCTAGTCACAAACTGTTTCCTGTGATAGGTGCCCTCAGATGATACTATGAGCACCAATGCTGCTCCGATGTGCTAGATTTCCAGCAGCCTCCTGCATTTCATGTGTCAGTGTCCCCGTGCTTAAAAATGGTCGCGGGGGCACTTGAACTAAAGCTAATCGAACGAGCTTCTTTTCAAGCGTCCTCACCACCATTTTCAAGAGTGGGGAAGCTAATACATGATATGTGATGGCACTTTAATTAGAGCAGGTCTCAGAGCTGCTCTAATTAAAGCATCACTCCCTCCACTCCCGGAGCACATGTAAAAGTGCCCTCAGTGTCCCATCATTGTGTCAGAGGGCACTGTGTAGCTGAATGTGCCATCTTTCAATTGACATATAAATGACATATAAGACTAGAGTCCTGACTGTCATATGACAGAGAGAATTAGCCCTGTGTAAACAAGTGGGTATTGTGACTGGACTCCATGATTCCTCTTAAGCCTGTTCAAGACGGTGTGATTTAAGAATGGATGGATCCATTTTAGCCTCTTATTCTGCTTTTGTTTCTTTTTACCAAAGCCACAAGTTTGTTCATATGCATTATGCAAAATCCCACAAATATTTCACATAGAACAGAAGCAGCATCCTTTATATGCCAAAAAAATGGTAGTAATGGGAATTGTACCAAAGCATGGATGTAACTCAGGCTGCATAAACACATTCAGATAACCTGAGAGAATTCTCCCAGATTTATTTTCCTTGTGGAAAAACTTACCCAGAACTGCATGTACAGACATTCAAATGCTAAGGCCCTGAACAGTGGAGAGCTTGCACTGTGCAGCCAGGGCAGGCCCCTATGACCATGTCTCAGCATGCTCTGTAGGCTTCCTTAGTCTGCCTGGCAATAGATCATAGCAAAGCACAGGGCAGCCCTGATTGGCTGATCCTGACTGCCCATGGTCTGCCTGTTTTTCCCTGCAGCATAATATGGGGATTGTGAAAGGGAAGTGTTCTGGAGCAGCACAGTCCAGCAAGCAATGTACTGTCTCCCTGGGAGGGAAGGGGGAGCAGTTGGAGGGCCATGTTTTCTTCTGTAAGAAGCCCTGGCTTGTACAGCCATTTGGTCTCCCAGTAAAAGTCTCCTGGGTGTGCTTTAACCCTGGTTGTTCCCAGGTTATTTTTCTCCTGGGGTGGCTATTTTTACCCTGGAAAAAAAAGCCTGAGCATTTGTAGACTTGTGGTTTCTTCTGGGAGAGCAGCATGTTTGTACAAGGCCTAAATCAGAGGCTCCCAACCTTTTTTAGTTGCGACCTTGAATCTGGGTCACACCCCCACCCCCACTGCTGACTCGCTCATGTCCACCGGCACCAGCAGAGCCTGGGCCAGGCCAGGATTGTGGGAGGCAGTGATGGCAAGAGCCGGGTGGACTGTGCACCAAGAGAGCCCTGCAGGCAGGAGGGGTGGAGTGAGGGGCGGACCCCCGTGACCCTGATTTGGGTCACGACCCAAGGTTGAGAGCCACTGACCTAAATAACTAGAGGTGAGAAGCCCTTTCCATTCCTTTACATGCACACACAACAATTTCAAAGCGCCTTCAATAGTGAGCACCTCAGAGGGCCCTGGACACTTGACACATTGATACCAATTACAACTTTATACAAAGATTCTGAGCAGACAGATGCAGCTATGCTGGGATTGATCAAGTCAACTGTACATCAGCTATTTCCAACTGTAATTCCAGACTATCTTCAAGTGTTCACCCTCCAGCTCATTTGAAAGACAGCCCCTTAGGGTGAATCACAATCCAAAACACCGAGATATATTTTGTCAGATTTCTTAGAAACTTGCTCAAGAAATGTCCTGCTGCTAACTAGGTTTCTCCCTTAATTATATCAATTCTAAGGTGCTAAGACTATTGTTCTATCATGCTAGTCAGGTACAGGCTTCACTGATCTAGCAGGATTTTCTCCAGAAATAGAAGGGCACAGACAGAAGTGACCATTTTTGCCCCATCTGGCCACAGAAAGCAGTCTATAGCTGTGACCAAACATGAGTGCATGGCTGGAGACAGCTTCAAAAATGGCCAATGGGGTAAAAATCTGAACCTGCGTTACATGAGGGTTCAGATGAATGTTTCAAAACAGAGCATCTTCTGTAACTTGTATCTGTGCTGCCTGCCAGGCTGTTGCTGTTTTCAGAATAGGAGGGGGGAAAGGGAGCAGGGGGAGTTTGGTCTGGGGTTTTTTCAGCCCCTCCTGGAGGGTGAAGCTGCTGTTTTTAGCCCTCCCGAGGTGGGGTGGGGGGGCTCCGATACACCCACCTTACCCTTCAAATTGGCTGGAGAACCCCCAGAACAAGCTCCCTCTGCTCCCTTTCCCCACTCCTATTCTGAAACAAGGACAGGCTGGGAGAGAGGAGGAGCTGTTGCTAGGGGAAACCAGCTGCATCCAGGGGCTAGAGTCCCCTTCCCCCCTGAAACCAACAGCGAACTTCTGTTTGTTCCAGAAGATCATTGTAACTCAGAATGATTCCTGCAAAGCGTTCTCAGTTACAGCGGGGAGCTGCACTTCTGTCTGCACCCAAAGTGTCCTGTTCAGATTGCAGTGTTGATAATTTCATTCTGCCTGCC